GAGCTCGGCTGTCCTGCTGCCTGGCGAACCAGGGCCATGTCTGGAGGGGGGTGGGGGCAGTAATGCTGCAGGCCAACTTAGTGAGCTCCTGAAAAACAAGCATGTGTTAAGTTAGCAGCCCACGGAGAATAAAAAAGAAAGTTCGTCTTATTCTTGTTGTGTTTGCACTGGGGACTGAACCCAAGCGCTCTACCACTTAGCCGCACCCCAATCCCTTTTGCTTTTTGTTTTGAGATAGGGTCTTGCTGAGTTGCTGAGGCCGGCCTGGATTCTGAGATCCTCCTGCCTCAGCTCCCAGGTCACGATGCCCACAGCCGTGCATCACCGCGTGCGGCTTTGGTGGGATTTCATAAAGATAAAAGCATGGCTGTCCCAAGAGACCCAGCAACACGAGGCATTTACCCAAAGGACAAACGCAGACATCCACCCAGAAACTCTTGCATGAGCGTCCACAAGGGCTGTCCTCGACAGACGCTGGACGTGATCCAGTGCCACCAGGGTGAGTGGATCAAATGCACCTGGGGATGAACCAAGGCTCAGCCAGCAGGAGCCACACAGAGCAGCATGCTAGTTGGGGGGAGTTCTAAGGCACAGAGTGTGTGACAGAGATCAGGGCACACACCTGGTCTGGCTGCGAAGAGGCAGGAGGCGCTCGCAGGGGAAGGACACCCTGGCAGGCCGGCAGCTATGTCCCCAGACCTCCCTGCACACCACGCAGAGCTGGGGAAGAGGGGACAGCAGGGAAGACAGATCTTGCCATCAGACCAGAGGGGAGCGGGAAGGGCCACTCTTGTCAGATACACCAGGCCTCGAGACATGGCACATTGTGGCAGCAAGGGAGGCATCAAGGGGCAAGCCACCAAGGGAGGACCAGGCCTGAGTGGACACAACAGCCCTACAGTGACATGATGACATGGCCCTAGATGGACATGAGAGCCCTATCTGGACACTGCTGGGCTTCCAAGTGTGAAGCAGACACTCTGGAAAGAGAAGTAGAGTTTCAAGGCTATCCTGGGACACAGCTCCACAGTCACCTTGGGGACGTCAACCCTCCCCTCCAGAATCCACAGAGAAAGCAGACATGAAATCCACAAGGATGGAGAGGACCTGAGCACACTGTCACCTGGCTGACCTGGTCAGCACTTCTAGAACATTCCCCCACACAACACAAGACCTGCTGACCATCAGAGCACGCACGTGCTGGGAGTGAAAGCAAGGGAGACAAGTGCAGAAGGGTCAGCTCAAACTGCTGCCCTCGACTCAAGGCCTCCAACCTGGAATCAAGGGAGAAGTGGGAAACTGCCGATGATGGGAATGAGCACCTGACACCCTCACGGGAGATGCCGACCTCATGAGCAGCTGGAGAAGTGTGGTCTGGGCCACAGAGAGGAGAGCAGCATCTAACACACCGGCCAAGTCAAGATGCCTTGGTGTAGACGGGACCCCTGGCATCCTGGTCAAAGGAGGCTCTTGCACAAACCCTGGAAGTGGGTAGCCACTGCTGCCCTGGCCACATGCACCCCTACAGCTGAGCCATCTGCCCTGTGCACACCCCAACCTGTTCACAGTCGCACTGTGCAGGTGCCCAAAGGAACCACCCCCATGTGCGTTGGCAGAGTGGGCAGATAACGCGGAGCCGCCCGCCCACTGGAGCACCTGCAGACCACAGAAGCCCAGGAGGTCGAGGAAGGGAGGCCGGGCTCAAGAGCACACTGCGCGGGACCCCAGGTAAGCTGGCCGAGGCAGGCTGGCCTGGGGGGGGGGTGCTGGTGGGCGGGATCCCCGGTGCTGTCTGTCATGCATGCAGGTCCTTCAGCCGTGCAACCACGGGCCACGCTCTGTCTGAATGGCAGGCAAATGCCAAGAAATGCCAGCCAGGATTAGGGTTCTGAAGCTTCCACCTGGGGATGGTGGAGTGTAAATGGCACGTCTGTGGAGAGCGCTCTGCATATCTCCAAAACAAGCACAGACCCAGGTCAAACCGCAGCTGCCAGGCACACACCACGGCAGTGTGTGTCCCACTGTGGGTCGAGACGTCGCCACGGTGATGTCACTGGTTGCAACCAGCAGTTCTCTACAGATTAAAACAGAGGTGGCACCAAAGCCAGGCAGTGCCCTCAGTCGTTGTGTGTCTCCATGCTAATGACACACTCTGGCCAGACACAGGAGCTGTGGCTGGGTGGGCCACTGCTCTGCCCAGCGTGGAGGCCAGCGTCACTCAAGGACATCAGCTGCTGCTTTCCCTGAGAGGAGGGGTCCCCGTGTCCAGCAGGGACACGGGGAGCACCAGGCCTGTTAGGAGGCTGGAAAGCCGAGGGAAGGCCGAGGGAAGGCTGAGGCTGCTCTGGGGTCTCTGAAGAAGACCAGGCTGGGCAGACGAACAGTGCGTGGTGGACCAGTCCGACTGCTTCGGGCAGGACTTGGGCTCTGGGCGACGCAGCGCAGGGAGCCTGGGCCTGGTGTGGAATCTGGTGAGGAGGCAGGGCAGGCCCCACAGCGCCGTCTGCGGACCCTGGAGTCAGCCGGCCCCAGGGGGCAGCCTGGGTCTGGAAGGCCCCCAGGATGCAAGGGCACCAGAGGGTAAGAGGATGGACACAGAGACATGTGAATACACCACCTGGACAAGCTCACACTCACAGCAGCCGCAGCTGAAGACAAAGGCCAGAAAAGGCTGCGTTTATTCAGACAAGAGGCTCCGCAACTCAGAACCCACACACACCACAGCAGTGRGCAAGGACACCCCACGACCCCCTCATCCCACGCCCCACAGAGAAGCCAGTCAGGGCGTGACCCCCGCCACAGCATCTGGGAGCACAGACTCTGGCAGGCAGCAGGAGCCCGCTGCCCAGGGAGGGCAGGACCTGGTGGTGGTGCCCATCGAGGGTCTGGGGAGGCGCCGTCCCATTCCTTAAAGCTGAGTGACTCGAAGGCCTGGGATCATGCACTTGCCACGGGCAGACTTCACCTCAGTCACAAGTCAACACTGCAGACAAACGCGCACACAGTGTCACGGTCGGCTCTGTGGGGACAGGGCTGCTCTTTTCTCTCCCGGATTCTCTGGTGGCAGAAGGGTTGTCCTGGCAGGAGTGTCCCAGACGCTCCCCTCTCCTGTCCCAGAAAAGAGCATCCACAGCTGCCCTGCCCAGGGGCTCTGCAGCTGCCCTCACATCTGGCAGCTGGATCTGCTTATGTAACTATGTCCTGAGGCCCTGAGCTCTGCACCCGCCACCTCCTCCAAGGCCGGGCCCCCAGTCCCTGTGCGAGCTCAGTGACCTGGGTCTCTCCCACATCCGGGGCTCCAGCTGAGGATGTGAAGGCATAAGAGAATAAGACAGCCCACGGAACCAGTGCAGACCCAGGTTGCCAGGTGGGGTCCTCATGCCTGGGGCACTGGGTGGCCTGGGATGCTGAAGATGGCACTCAGGCCTCTGCATCCACTCCTGGGCCCACAACCTTGGATCCTCCTCTGAGGTGCCCTCCACAGGCACTGGCAGGGGTGACTGGCAGCCCTGTGCTCGGCCCTGCAGGTTTGCCTGTGGGTGGGGGTGGGTGAAGCCACGTCCCTCATCCTGATGTCACTCTCCCAGCTTTCAGCTAGGACCAGAAAACGCCATGTGGCAGCAGCTGTGTCTGCCAGGCCTGCAGTGTGGCTCTAGGGGCCCCCAGTCCTCCCTCAGTCCTCAGGCACCTCCCCCAGGACACTGCAGGGACACAGCTCTGAGACCCAGAGACAAGATGGCTGAGGGCGCTAGTGGGCACAGGGCTGCCCACTGGCAAGGCCATGCCTTGGAGTGGGGACCAGGATGGCTCAGCTGTAGGGGATGCATGTGGTCGCCATGAGTACCTCTTCCTCTCACCAAGAGGTGAACCCCGGGCCACCTGGTGCTATCTGGGGGGAGCAAGCCTCAGCTCCCCCACCACCTCTGGGGCAAGGTGGACAGCTGGTTAGGTCYTACTTGGCCTATGACCTCAGAGGACCAGCTAGCAGGCCCCAGCCTGTCAGGGAGCCCAGGGAGGCCATCCCCACTGCATGGCTCAGGGCCTTTCTCCTGGACCCACCAGCCAAGGGTCCAGTTTCAGGGTGAGCTGTGCTTGGGGTAGCCTTGCCACAGCAACTATGACAGGAAGCCTCTCCTGGAGTCTGTAGGTCTCAGAGGGCCTCCTGGGCTGTGCAGAGGCAGAAACCTCAGGGTGCTGGGGAAGAACCCGGGGCCAGGACCAGGGGCCTGGACGCTGCGAGGTCTCCTCATGGTTCTGGAAAATCCCCCGACACAAGTGCCCTCTAGAGTTGGGGCTTGCTGGGTCCTTGGGACACTCACTAGACCCTATGACCTGGCAGGGGGATGGCTGGATTCCTGGCCAGGGGCCTCACTGTGGGGGCCGCACCGGATACCCCTCCAGTGGAACTGTGCACGCGGTGCCTCTGCGAGGCCTCTCAGCAGGGTGCTGGGTTCTCCCTAACTCACAGACCAGCACAGTGCAGCCAGGTGGGGCCTCTGTGGGCACGAGACCAGAGCGTCTGCTCTGCCTGGACTGGCAGGTGAGCAGACCTGGGTCCTGGGGGACAGGGAGTGGCCAGGGGAGGTGTAGGGGGGAGATGCCTGAATGCCAGGCCTCACAGGCCTGGGGCCACTTGGGGCTGAAAGGGGACAAAGCCTCATGGCCCTGTGGGACAGGCGGGATGGCTGCCACTGCTGAGACGCAGACACACCTGGCCATCTGCAGATCAGGAGGCTTCCAGTTCACCTGTGCTGGGGATGCACTCATAGGGCTCTGCCCGTGACACCACCCTGTGGACGGAACAACCACATTCCAGCCCCTGCCCCAGGACCAGCTGACCAAAACCAGCACCCAGGCTTCTGACTCCCCAGGGGCCATGTCTCCAAGCCATCTGACAGAAGGGACAGGAGATGGGGGACAAGTGACCATCAGCATAGCCCCATAGAGTGGGAGGACCAGGGAGGAGCAGGCCCAGCCCTACACGTCCTGCAGGAGCCTGGGCCTTGCTGGCTCTGTCCCTAGATCATGCCGGCCAGCCAGGGTGGCAGGAAGAGGCCCACGGTGCCCAGCAGGCAGACGATGATGAACATCCAAAGGAAGATGCGATCGATGACCATGGCCACGTACTTCCAGTCCTCCCTCACCTGCAAACACAGACACAGGGTCACTCTAGCCCCTGCCCTCGGCCTCACGGGCAACGAGAGAAGCTTCAGAACCATGTGCCCCAAGTGGCAGTCCTGTCTCCCCTCAGGTGCACACGCGCACTGAGGTGACACGGGGAAGGAGCACACCTTAGCCACGCCCCTGATAGCCAGGGAACTCCAGGACTCCATTCCACCCACAGTGGCTGCTGCAGGGGTCAGGCGGGGAGAGGCCCCCAGGGCAGGCTGGATATCTGCAGAGTGCATCACAGGCGCTCATGTGGAAGCAGAGGGTGTCCTGTGCTGCACAGGAGGCAGGTCCACCTGGAGTCCCCGGCTGACCTGACCTGAGCCCAGGAGACCAAGTGGAGAGCACTGTGGAGGAAAGCAGGGCCCAGCTTCCTGAGGGACTCTGTCCTACATCCGGGGGAGCCATGGAGGCTTAGTCTATCCCCATGTGCAGATGGTGAAAGCAGGGCCCGAGAGGGGCCACCCACAAGGCCGGCTGCGMAGGGCAAGGGCCAGGAGCAGGCTGGGCAATAGGTCTGATCACTAAGAACCCCCACACTGAGCCGCACGGTGGAGGAGGGCCTAAAAACAAGGACCGAGGCCTGACCATCCACACCTGCCCTCCTACTCTAGGCCAGTGCTCACATCCTGGCACAACTGGGCTGGACAGTGTTGCTGGGCGACAGTTCATGGAGGTGGTGGAAGGGATCTGAAGCAAAGTGGCTGAAAACAGCAAGCATCATAAACCATACCGGGTATGTCCACCTGCAGCTACTCGGCCTCACCCAGACTGCCCCATAACAAGGACACTGAGACGTGAGCAGCCAAGGGAGAGCCACGGTCACACCTTTGTGAGAGTGGACCCCAGGCCCTGCCTCTGCCAGGACTGATGCAGCACACCCCCACACACACCAGCAGACCACTGGGACCAAAGGCTCAGGGGAGAGTGCTGCACTGGCCTGGCCAGATCTGGAGTTAAGTGGTCACTCTTGAGACAGCCTCAAGCAGCCCTGAGGCACCCAGGCAGCTGCTGCACATGCTGCTGCCCTGTCCCTGGCTTCACTGTCTCCCTGTGTGGACAGTCAGGTACCTGGGAGTTCCTGTAGCCCCAGGCTTGATAGGAGCTGCCTTTGGGCCATGAGTAGGTGACCTGGGCCAGCAGGCCTGTCTGTGCTTGAGTGGCCAGAAGAGGACATGTGCTGCGCCCCTCCCCTGACTCAGGCAATGGCAAGGCCCTACTGAGGTGGATGGCGCAAGGCGTCCATCCTCTGGAGGAGCGCAGTATGTTTCTGGGAATGGGCTGATTTGTTTTTGTATTCCTTTAATAAGTATAGTTGTGATTTCTCATATGACCATTAAGTATGAAGGAAAAATCATGACTTTCCCAATTAATG